CATTCTAGAAAATTCCAGAACATTCTAGAAAATTTTCTACCAAATGTTCTGGAATTTTCCAGAAAGTTCTGGAATTTTCGAGAATTTTCTGGAATTTTCTAGAATTTTCTGGAATTTACTGGAATTTTCTAGAATGTTCTGGAATTTTCTAGGATGTTCTGGATCTTTCTGGAATTCACTGGAATTTTCGAGAAAGTTCTGGAATTTTCGAGAATTTTCTGGAATTCTCTAGAATGTTTTGCAGTCGAAAAAAAACACGGCAACCAAATTTACAGTAGGTCACAGAATTTGAGTTAATCACGAAAAAAATGTGACAAAAAATGTCTGTTGCGAAGCTTTCAGCTCAATTTTTTGTGGGCAGCACATAGATAGGCCGCCTGAAAACCGTTTTTGAGAATTCCCTGAAGTTTTAGTGAGTTTCAACATAATTTTGAAATTTTCGATTCTCAACCCTATAGGTTCCCGATTAGCTAGGAGGCCCAGGACACCATGGACATGAAGCTCTCGGTAGTCCATGGCTACATACCACACACCATTATAGGAGTCCCATGCCCTTTGGAGTTATTCAAGTAAATGTCCGAGACGGACACACAGACACACACACAGAAAAGTTTCCTTAGTAAGAAGTAGATTTTTGCTTCTGAATCACCGGAAATCATTTTTAAAATTTTACAACAATTTCGAAACACGATCTGTACAAACATTTATATAATGAGGAAGAGAAACTGATAAGAATTTTCAATTTTCGAAATTTTAAAATAATTTCACGTTTCCGAAAAAAAACATGCCTCCCAATTTCGATCCAGATGACTTCTATCTTTCTGTTCCAAATCCTGCTCAGTACACAGTAATTTTGCCAGATCGGTAAGTAAAAATTCTGGAATTTTCAGAAATTTTATTGAAACTTTCAGACCAAACATCCATCGAAAAACGACTAGAGTGCAGCTAATCAGAAAATATTCAATTGGATTTTTGTTAGGATTCATTTTATGTCTTATTGTTTTTGTTTCCACTTCGTTTGTTTTTGGAAAGTTTTCTCTGAATTAATGAATTTCTGAATTTTCTAAACTTTTTTTTAAATATCTGTATATCTGGATTGTTACAGTTGTAAAATAAATTCTAAATTTCTGAGTTTCAGAATTTCTGAATTTCTGAATTTCGAGATTTTTGAATTTTTGAATTTCCGAATTTCTGAATTTCCGAATTTCTGAATTTCCGAATTTCAGAATTTCAGAATTTATGAATTTCTGAATTTCTGAATTTCTGAATTTCTGAATTTCTGAATTTCTGAATTTTTGAATTTCTGAATTTCTGA